TCCGAGTCTGGGTGGGAGGCTCAGCATGCTTCTCGGGCACCTGCCACGAGTATCACGCGAAGCTTCAACGGACGAGACTGGGAGCTACACTCGTAGGACTCTCCATCCCACCCCGGACCCTACCTGGTTTCGTGAATCTGCTCCTTGCATGGGAAACAGGCTCTTGCATGGCCCTGCCGTTTGCTGCCAGCTGGTCCTGGGCCAAGAGGCAGGTGACGACTCCAATATACGACTGATACTGATACAGCTACTGCCAGTCTCTTTGTGAGTTCACCAAATGCAACATCAACTCGTCAGTTGCCATTTTTGATCCCTGTCGCTATCGTTGTTCTGATCAGTCCTCAGTTTCTCGGTCAACGGTCAATACTTCGAGAATAATGATGAGTTGCAGGCAGCAGACCTGCGAACGCCGGATCTAGTAGGGGGCTCTAATGAACAAGATCTTCAACTTTGGTGTATTTGGAGGTCCACTTTGGCACATTGACCAATCTAGCGGGGACGTTGACCCCGCGACCGTCCCTACCTGCGTCCCTCAAGCTGCCATCTAGTTCCCCCAATCCCACAACACCAGGCTGGCACGGTTATCCCGGTGGATGAGCTTCTGGATTCAGCTTCGGTTTTCGGTGGACAAAGCCTGCTAACGTCTCAAAGTTTAGGCCGGAAACCTAATCTTGTGGGTTTCGGGTATAAGGGCTGCGAGGAGTGCGGAGTTCTCTATCTTTCGGTACAGTTGACTCAAGTTCATACGGTTTTAGGGCCGTTCTTCGATCAGCAACACCATGACATCTGTGCCGAGCAGACCCCATGTCTTGGATCCGCGCTAGCGAAGCCCAATATAGATGGACATCACAAGCGCAACAAGTACAAGACAGCTTCACAGCACATTCCTCTTCTCAGTGCTCTCAGCCGGCTCGTTGGATGATTATGTTGTTGACCATCCTAAACCCAAACTCAAGCACATGCCCCGCGAGGCCACTTTACACGATGAGAACTCTTGGAACTCTTCGGGTCAATTCGGGCCACCATTCCACCCATACTCTCTAACCATCTCGGCATCAGGTAGGCCTCAAGTCCCCATGAATGAAGCAGCTCACCAAAGCGCAGCCAAAAGAGGTGGCAGTAGGCCTGGATGCGAAGCCACCGATTCGCCTTCCTTTGGTGCATCCTGCAGAGGTGGCTCGCTTCGTGGGCCGCAGGGTTTAGGGCCCCTAAACCCTAAACCCTAAACCGGCCAGGAACCTCGCCCAGGCATGTCCGAGAGTGAGTGCTGAAACCCGGTTTAAGGTTTAGGGTTTCGGGTTTAGGAGTTTAGGGTTGAGGATAGGGCTAATTAGGATGGGTTTCAGGGGGAGTCCTCCACACACATCTACACGGCCTGCGAAGTAGACCAAAGAACTTACGCACTAGACTCTTCACCTTTAACCGTAACCCCGCACTCGAGAAGTCGAGAGGCCCTGTCCTAAAGGATTTTGTGTCAAGCATCGATTGCAAATCAATTTGCTCGATAAAGGATATGAGTGTGACGCCGTTTATGAGTTTTATTGCCATGATGTGAAGTCTTTCAAAGTGTTTGCTTCTTGCAGGTTCAGCTTTAAATCTGAGAGGCCCGGAAGACGGAAGGAGTGATGTTGGATCCGGAGTCATTCGGCTCTTTTGCCGTAGACTGTAGAAAACTTGAACCGAGATGAGCAGAATAACCGCATGACGGCTAAAACCGTATAGACCCTAGCTGAGCATAGCTGAGCTGATTCAGCCCTAAGCTGCTTCAACATGCTGCACGCGCTTTGCGGCAGGCGTTTCGGGAGGCCTTGTGCTGGGAGCTCGCAGCCCAGAGTTGTGAAGGGAAATGGGAGGATGTGGGAGATCTCCAAACTGTAGGATCCTTAACGTAGACACCACCGATGCGGCATGCAAGAGAGGGAACAAGGTAGAGTACATGGTCGGGGAGAGTTTTAATGGCAGAAGAACCACGACGGCCTACCGTTTCTGAACTTGAAGCCGTTAGCCTGAAGCTTAATTTGTGCCGGTTGCTTTGGGACTATCATGAAGTTTTGCGAGGGGTAGGAACCTCTTAATGGCGAGCCGGGTGAGGCTGTCAGAGAGAAAACCACAGTTGGACAAGTAAGCAGGTACGTAGATGTGTACAGAAATAATTAATTCAGAAAGCAAGCAACGAAACTACGCTATCTATCCATATACATTATACAGTTATATCTATGCACACATACACATACACACACACACATACATACATACATACATACATACATACATACATACATACATACATACATATATATATATATATATATGCAGAGAGAATGTGTGTGTGTGTGTGCGTGTCTGTATGCATATGACAAGTATAACTGGCGTATATCTGTAAAATGAATGAACATGTAGATAGATAGATACATACATAAGATAGATAGATGGATGGATAGATAGATAGATAGTTACATACATGCACATAATTCCACATTATGTATATATATATATATATCTGT